AAGCATATTGCTTTCAGAAAAATAAAATGCTCTGTGTTCAAGCTTTAAGAAATGTGAATGAGTTTATGAATTAAAAAAACAAACAAAGAAATCAACAGTAAATAATTGCTTTCTCTGAAAATATACTTATCAATATTCTTCACAACTTCACAGAAAGTATCCTGTTTTTTGCATGCACGGTAGTTTTGTAAAGTAATGATTCCTTACCCAATTTTTCTTCAATATCAGGTCGTCCACCAGGTTTGTTGGCTTCTGAACCATTGCCAGAGGATGTCCCTTCCTCACTTTTAATTTCCCTTTTAATTTCATTTTCCAATTTTATTCCTGATTTTAATATACCATCCCTTTCTATATCATCTGGTTCAGCTTTCAACTGCTGTGCTTTCTCAGCTGCTTCTCGAGCAGAATCTTCTGCTGCTTTTTTGCAGAGAAATCTGTATGTGTTCGGGTCCACAGCTAGGATTTTGATTCCTTTTGCATCTGCATTTCAAAACAGTGAGAAACATGACCCAACATGGAAATGTGGTATAATTTTTTTTTTTATTACTAAAGTAAACATATCTTCAGTAATTTAATAACAAGAAAAATAGAAAGGAAAAGAACAAACCTTTCACTTGCACCATTATTTTCTGAGGCCCTGCTCTTAATCCCATTTTGTGACAATCTCTTAACAAATACTTGCGAGTGGTAGACAACCACAACCATCCCCACTGACCATGAATTCGATACTCTTCTCCTTTTTGTTTCCATACCTGCAAGATAAAAAATGTATCACTGACACGAAATATAATATTAAATCTCTAATGCAGTATTATCTGAAAATTACGCAACTGAAAACTCTTAAGAAACTTTAAGCATGTGCCAAGGCAGACATGCAAAATTTCAGGGGAAATTAATATCAGGAAGTGAATTATTCATTCAAAAAAATGTATAATTCTTAAGCAGTTTTTGATCTTCAGAGAATGAATGCAATAACTAACATCAACTACTCAAATTGATTAATTTCTTAGTGCAACGTACAGTAAAGGAACAACAGCACACGTACAGTAAGGGAACTACATACAAATTCAGACTTCCATTCTACATTTCTAGAATGCACACACTTTCATTCCATTCTGTACTTCCCCAAATACATCCCTTAATTTAAGTATTTGGTTACCTAGAAATCCTCAAAATTATTTAAAGCACTTAGAACAAGTTTATACAAGATGATAGAGTACAATGAAATCTCAAATTGCCACTTCAATTACTGACATCTCTATTTACAGGATTTTTCGTTTTTGTGGAACCAATTGATTTTCTCATAAGAAGAAGATGTATTTTTTTGTCAAATGTCCATAGAGCATGCAACATGCATGGAACTTGAAGGTCATTCAATAACACATTCTTCTGACTAAAATATTCGCAGAATGGTTATTGCTTCTAGAAGAAATATAGTTGCATTATTAATTCAGTTTACGACTGAAAATGAGTAAAAGAATAAATGGCATCTACCCTAGATTCCTTGTTTATACTCCAATTTAAATATAATGATTTCTGACTTTTGGTCATGGCATTGGTTAGACATGATTATCAAATTGGGAGCTTCATTACAACTTAAGTTTTCATATTGAAGTTCCCAATTGGATAACACATCCCAAATGATCAAACATCAGAAGATTCTATAATTAAATCAGGGAATAAGTTGTATTTTATAAGATACCATATTTATCAGAATATAAAACATGGTATTTTCCTATACCACCTCAAGACCTAGGGAATCCAAATCTGAGTTTTGCAAGAAAACTAAATTTAAAAAATTGGTCATTCAAAACTTCACTGTTCAAATTGAAAATAAAGGGTTATTAACAAAGCACCAGCCACAAATGTGTATAGAAAGAAAATCTGGAAACAGAAAGGATTATTCTAATGGTACTGTCAGATGAAAGCCTAAAATTGCAAATTTTCTAGAAGGGCCTAAAAACTCAGAGGATAACTTTTATTTTGACTGAACACTAAGAATTAGCTAAAAATGAAAAAAAATGTCGCAAGGCCACTTCAAAATTAAGGGGTCTTATATAGGTGTTAATGAATGATACTTTGAATTAATTCCTGTAACATTAATCGTAATTAACTGAACACTTCTTTTAACAGGCAAATTTCACCCGAACTGTTACTGACTACTAAGTCAGGTTTCACCCAGGCACAATACATCAGATGAAGATCAAAAAAGGTCTAAGACAAAGATGCACAAACTGTCACCATTACTCCAACATTTACTTAAATCACATGACAAAAAATATTATTTGCAGACAGCCAAGTTGTAATAACACTCAGTAGACACTACAGAAAGCAGCCTTTGAGTTAAGCAAAATAAGCAAAGAACATCAAATGAAAATATCAAGCCAGAAAACTAAAAAACTAGCCATCTATTGCAAAGAAAATCTTAGAGCAAAAATATTAATAGAAAATTCAATAATTGAACAAGTTATCACTTTTAAATATCTTGGAAATTCAATTTGATTGAATCAGAAGAATATAGAAGAAAAAAATACAATAGTAACAATGGAATAATAATAATAATAATAATAATAATAATAATAATAATAATAATAAAGAGACACTTTGGTCATATGAGAAAACATACAATGATGAGAATCCATTATATTACATCAAAACCAATTCTAAAGTATGGTTCAGAAACGTGGATAATTGGCATAAAGGAAACCAGACGCATAGTGTAGCTCGGATGAAGTTTCTAAAGGCACTGTTAGTAGTAACAAGAAAAGACAAAATTCAAAATGAAACAACTAGGAAAGAACTGAAAACCAAAAACTTAGCACAAAAATAAAAAATTACTGAAGAAAATATTTGAACAGAATGGATAAATGACGTCTACCATGAATGGCATTAAACTATAGACCGAATGACAAGAGGGATAGAAGCAGACAGACAAGAAGATGGCAACAGCAGGAACACTTCACCAAATAAAAGAATACTGCTTTACTACCCACTAACAAGACATTGGCACCACTCCTAAATCAAGGGTATTGATGTTCATGATGACGATGATGATGATGAAGCACACCACTTCAAAGGCAATTGTGAATAAAAACATGTAGGGCTTACAAAGGTACTTAAACTGCAAACTTTGTTTGGCACAACACTTCTAAATGACTGCTGACCCTTGTGACAGTAAAACACAAAATATGAACATAATCTAAAAAAATTCGCAGGTACAACAACGTTTTTCATTCCACAATGCTTTCTTATTAGGTATTTTTCCAGATAGGGGGAAAAAAAAAAAGGTTACCTGATGTTTGAGTCCAAGAGTGTATTTAACAAAATTGTAGGTCAATTTGTTTCTCTCTTCTTCTTCTTCCTTTTCTTTTTTGTCCCGTTTCTCTTGCCTTTTCCTTTCCTCCCTTTCTGCTGCTGTTAGTCTGTGAAGTTTTACGTGTCCTAGGAGGAAATAAATGGCAAAGTTAAAATACGATTTCTTTGCTTGGAATTCATGAACACACATTCCAAAATTCATTACCTAAGGCTTCATGCCAAACATTTGCAAACACAACTGGCTTAATGCATGCTTGCAAAACAATAAGAGCACGGGCAAAGTCCCTTGGATTGATACAAGCACTAACAGCCGTAATCCATGGCTTTCTAAGCAGTGGCCAATTTGGATGCATAAATGATGCTTGGATGCTGGTCTCCAATTGAAGTAGAGTTTGCCTAAGGGTGCTTACAAGCAAGGCTCTGGCACCTGAAAAATAATCACAAATTAAATTATATTTAATTCAACATTATTAAATTCTAGTAATTACACATCGATTTACACATCATTATCCTTTGGAATAAGTGAAGGTGAAAAAATCTTTGTATAAAAATGTAATTCTATTCATAATCCATCCAATATTTTAAAGTTGAATAAAATGTACACACAATTTAAAAAGTTGACATCTAACTTTCAGACATGTCATACATGTAATGTAGGTTGAAAAGGTTCTAGCACAAAGGAAAAATACAATATTTTGTAGAATTCCCATTCCTTCATTTCCAAATTTTAGTTTAGTTGTCACTAAAATTTTTAATTCAACTTACAAATAGTTTTCTCAACAAAAAAGAATTATAGAATGTCCTACTCCAATTAATAACCAGGAGAAATATAAAATTTAGATATGAAATGCACTTACCATGCAATGTACCAACCCATTTAAACTCTGAAGCTTGAGTGAGAGAAAATTTGTGGGACAAATGACGCTTCTTATCCCTCTCTTCATTACGCTGTGGCTTGTTCAAAGCCGCAACATTACTACTATACTGATTCACATAGTTCTTGAAGCCATTTTCCATCCCTAATTTAAACATATATGTACCTAGAAAAATGATCAAGATGTTAAATATACAAAACAATCAAATAACTCCCAATGTTACTACATCTTTTACTCATACCAGTGGCTATCTGCTGTGCTTTCAGCCGTGTTAACCTGGTTCCCTCAGCAGCAGCAGCAGCCAGCTCCTTTTCATCTTTTGCAAGTTTTTCGCCATCCTTGCCCCGTCTCTTAAGTTCATCCATACTGAAAGTTCTCGGGGTCAGTGATCCAGTTTTGGAACGAGTTAACATGGTTCTTTTTGAACCTGAAACAGTTAAAACATTATAATAGTGCTATATACAAAACAGCACCCTTTCTTTTGTTGCACAACAAACATACCATCTTTGTTAGTTTTAGAAACTCCTTCATCATCATCTTTGTCTGAATCTATGTCCATTTCATCCTCATCACATTCAGATGTTGATAAAGCTGTTGATAATTTAACTGAAAAATAAAAATGTAATTACATATTAATGAAACATAACAATACAACAAAGGGCTGAGAACATACTAAATATGAATTTCCTAAAGAATATTTTATCTTTCCAATAATCTGGCAACTGAACTTGCTCCTTTAGTTACAGAGATCAATAATTGAACGATACATGAAGTTCTTCCCATTAACTTCATTAGCTTTAAAGCTATTACTTTCTTTTCCATTTTGTCCAATACGGCTTCCATATCCACAACATATTACTTGACAGTAAGACATCAAGTGAAATTTGATCTCAGTTCTTTAAGCAGTTAAAAACATTTAAAATATTGCAATTGAAGAAACAATGATGTTGTATAATAATCAGAATTAGACAGATAGTTTAATTATTAGAAACCTGCACATTTTCCTTTTTCTTCTCAATACAGAGATAAGATTTAAATTTCCCCCCTAACATAATAAAGATCATTTGGCAGTTAAAAATGGAGCGTTGTTTCACAAATCTATTTGATGAAAACACTTGTAAACAATGAAAAAATAGAATTGAACAAGTTTTTATGTCCAGAAAATTAATATTGCATTAACAACAATATTATGGGCAGTGAAATTGTCAAAATTATTACTAGAACTCCCAAGTTCCAAATACTTGCAATGGGCATATACAACGAGATATGTGAAAAAGACTGAGAAGAGATGTAAAGGGCGAGACCAAGAATGCATGTATACACTCTGTTCAGTTCCAAGAGCGATTATTTGATACTCGTTTCTGCCAATCATATTGAACAACATAAAGATATGATTCGCATTAATTTCACAAATATTGGCTAACTTGGCTGGAACTGTGCTATTTTTCATTATTTTTATCATTCTGCCAAGAGTATTTTTGCATGAAATAATGGCATTTATGAAGCTAAAATTAAAGTGAAGTACACTTCACACCTTCTATTTAAAGAAATTTTATTTTCATGAATTATTCTTTGATTAAGAATCAGTATATTGCTAATAGTTGAAAGTTACTAGCACAAGCACTTTAAAATTCAATGACTGGACTGTCTATTTACATTCAGGAAGCACAGCTTCACTTCAAATTTTTAATCGAAGAATTCACAATAATCCTCACATGTTTTTCAACATGATTTGCATCTGAACTTCATATTAATGAATTAAATCATTCATGACAATTATCCCTAAACTCCAACTGCATTTATTGAACAGACACTTTTGAGGTATTATCAGCTGAAAAATATATTTCTCAGAGTGATGTGCTCTTCTGCAATGTTTAACTGTTTTAGAACCTGTTAAAATAATTCTCCGCTACCCTGAACAAAGCATTTTACTAAAGGAGAAACTGTTCCTCTTCCCTTTACAACACATCCAGAAGAAAGCCCCCTCTTAGTAGTTTTTCTGTTAACATGCTATATGCACTTTACTTCTTACATCAATACTAAATATTAACCTGCAGAAGATGACAATGTGGTAGTGGTGGTTGTCATGGTAGTTGTCACCTCAGTGATGTGCTCTCCAGCATCTACATCCATTAGAGTTTTTGTCAGTTCTGTTGTTGTAGTAGTAGTAGTGGTTGTACTACTCACAGCCTCCGATGTCTCTAGCTGTCAAAATTTTAAAATTAAAATTAACAAATAAGTGAGTAGCAGATGTTAGTAAGACTGTGTCACAGAAGCATATGCATTTCCAAGCAATTCAAAGAGAAAGCTCAATAATTTATCTCATGCAAGGGGAGAACATAAAGGAAGTAAACCAGTTCTTGCAAGCAGAGGCAATGTGCATGTTTCAAATAAGAGGCGAGTCTACTAGAAACTAGGATCTCCAGCATACTCCAAACAAGGCTTCAGAAATTTAGTGAAAAAAAGGAAATTGTTCAGTCTCAGTCTGGAAAATGAAGATGTTATTTATTCTGTTACATTAGTAAGATATTTTTCTGAAACCTTACTCTTATTGTTAATTAGCCAACTAGGCAAGCATACACATTGGATCTCCATTGCTCACCAGTGTGGCATTGTTGGACGGGTTGGATTCAGCATTGGACTCAGAGGCATCAACACTTTTGGCACCATTGCTTTCTCCATCTGCCATAATAACCTCATCACCCACCTCCCCATGAAGTTGTCGGACCTGATCTTCAGCAGCTTGTCGTTCACGTTCACGCTTTATCTCCTCCTCCTCTTTAATTCGCCTTTCTTGTCGTTCTTTCTGCTGCTTAGCGAGTGCCGCTGAAAAATTAATTATGTAAAAATATTTGCATCATATACTCTTGTTAGAAAGGCCACGACTTTATTTTCACAAGTCAAAATGAATATGTTTGGTAAAAAAACAATAAAACATTGAAATATAAATTCAGGTAAAATAGGAGATGTCAGTTGGGTGCCAATTGTCATTTAAGAAATGTGTTCTCTCAGTAATGTTATACAAAAAATAAAAGCCATCAGTATACCAGTTGTTCATTATCATTTATGGATTGTATTTACAGTTATTTGTGACAAAAAATATTGAGATCTCCCAAACTTGATTTTACATTACTTCTACATACAGGGTTTCAAAAGCAATGTTGACTACAGCAACAAACTATTACAATTACAATCCTACATTTTGAAGGCTAACACAAACTACTCTAGTCTCTCTTCTTTACCTAAATAAATTGTTCAGGGGCATTATTTCAAAAACTTGTAAATATGAACAAATGTTTGACGATTTTTAAGCAGTATTTAATATATTTGTCATTTTAAATTTTAAAAATATATACTAACCCTCTGAATTTATGGATGTTATTTATTATTTCCAGAATTGCATTAATAATTCTTAGACAGTAGGTCACTAACCAGACAATATAATTATTCTCCCTATTGATATCAATACTCACACTTCTGGTAAGTATAATTTATATTTCTAGATAAATTTAAAGCAAGAAAACAAGTTTTATAAACTAATTCAAAATCAGATCAATTGTGATATAATGTATAAATAATAATCAATCAATTGTGATATAATGACGTGTAGAATTTTTTGAAAGAAGATAAATCTTATCTTACACACTCATTTATGCATTAATTGAAAAAAAATCACTTTCAAAATATAGAGTATTAAGTAACAGATTATGCTAAAAAAATCTTAATTTAGGTTTCAAATTAAAATTATTATAAATAAATTTAATAATTGAAGTAATGAAGACAATGAATAAATTATGCATAAAGAAGTTCTAATCATTCAGAAGTCCAGAAAACAAATGAATTCTCTGAAGACACAAACCAGCCAATAACAAGACAGAACAGCCTCAGGTTGCCATAGCAACACAACAAAATATGAGTTGTGACTAGAGAAATATGAGAGCAAGGTATTGACAAATTCTGTGCATTTTGTTTTCACACAAAAGTTGACCATTTCAGTAAAATCACTTCAAGAACTAATCAAGTGTAATGAAGATTTCCAGAATTAACTTAGGAATAGTCAAGGTTTCTAGAAACAACTACAGACAAATTTTCACACAACAACAGTAGTAATTCTGACAGCAAAATAACTCACCATTTTCTAGATCCAAGTATGACTTTTTATTCCCTTTATGTTGGTTGGTAATTTTCTCCGTAAGTTCCATTTGACGAATAATTTCATCTCGAAAATCACTTATTTCCCGATATAATGCTAATTCCATGTGATTACGATCCATGCATTCAAGTAATTCTTCCATTTGAGAAGGAGTGCTGTAATACCATACTTCACCATCTTCGTTTTCTCTAAAAGGGAATTGCAATTCAATCGCACATATAATAAGTATTAAAATACTTTGCTAATACATGCATTACAATGGTAAATTCATTATACTTACACAAATATTCTCCTGGCTAGAAACCAATACTTTCTCCCATGACGGTCAAATCCCAAATGCTCCTGCCTACACAAGAGCCCAGACTTCTCCGCATCAGAAACACAATCCACTACTCCTGTCACCTGCATACATTACAAACATTGACAACTATTAATAAATGAAGCTTTTCTACTTTGCTAAAATTATCAGAGGAAATTGGCAAATTTGTCTTCTATGTAATAAAAGATGGGCAAGAGGAAATTTTAATGAATTTCCTTTTTATTCAATAAAATCTTCAATAACTGCAATAAAATTGAATTAGGAATTTGAAAAAATTAAATGTCTAAATTACATAGGATTATATACAAAGTATTTCCTCAAAACAAGAAGAAATTAACATTTGCAGAGCAAATGGCAACACTCCTTACATGGCAAATTCTGCTTACCTCATTAAAATTTACCTTTCTGAAGGGTAATTTAATACATAATTTGTTTTGGAGAATTTCACTTATAAGTATTTACTGAAAAAGCAATCAGCCAAATTCCAACAAATCTTGCTGGAAACAAAAATCAAGATACTCTCACCTTATGTGCTCGACATACTCCACATTGCCAGTCTTCCTCTGGAACATTATCCATTGGTGGTTCCACACATTCCAGGTGAAAAACAGCAGGACATGTCTCACAGCATAATAAATCACCAAGTCGATGACAAATTCGACAGTGGTCATCGTAATGGATATTGCCTGTCAAATACAATTTGTTTATTACATACAAAACACACTTTATATTAACAATATGACTCAATTCATGTTACTGCAATTCACAATAAATAGAAATGTTAACTAGCACTACCTTCATTCAGCAAGTCTTCTCGTACTGGATTAGTAATTAAAAACTGATCTGTCAAAAATTGGAGGACTTTCAGCCTGTTTTCTACAGATGTGAAAGGATATTCACAAGAGGATAAAATAGACAATGCAGTTGAATCAAAATCTTTGTCACTTTCTACATAAGCCCGAAGAACTTCAGGCCATGTCATAGCATCAACAAAAAATAACAGAATGTTTACACTATCTTTCTGGTCTAAAGGTCCAAAGTGTGTCTGCTGAGAGTCCTCTTCTCTGAGCAATGCTTTCAGAAGCATAATGTGCACTTCTGCCAGCAAAGTACTTTGATCCTCACACATAACAGCTGCACAGAAATCTTCAAATCTGAATGGAGATAGTCTCACTAATGTTCTGAAATGACGCAACACTTCATAGATACACAAAGCTTGCATAATATGTTCTTTAGAAATTAAAAGGTCCTCTGAAGATTTAGGTAGTTCTAGCAATGGTATTTCACGATTCTGCAGCCACAAAGGTTCTGGGCTTGGAGGTCTATGATATATGTACTTTTTCGGTGTGCCACTGACAGTACTATAACTTGACAGGGAAAAATCACTATCACTAGATGCATCTCCACCAATACTATCATCCATGTCACTTTCACTAGGAAGAATATCATCTTCAAATTCACTTTTCCCACTAGACTCGTCTCCAAAATCTGAACCGTAGTGGTATTCAGAATCTTTCTCTTCCACCACATCTGGGTTATATCCTCTTCTCTGATATCTACCTATTCCACCTCTTCTCCTATAACTTCCCCCTCTGCTCCTTGTACTTCTATTACTTCTTTCACTTTCTACAGGTGATGACGCTCTTGACGCTGTCGGCGTACTTGTCTGAGAGTTCGGCGTTTCGGAATCTTTATTTTCGCGGTTTAAGATGTATTTGGGCTTTTTCATTAGATGATACTGAAACTTTCGTGGTCTCTCCATCACCACCGACTTGGGAGGCCTCCCTCGCCTCTTCGTACCTCTCGCCGACATTTTGGATTATCTTATGTCAATCACTAGAGTCTATTTAACACGTGGTTTATGAAAACACACTATTGTATACAAATACGAATGACACAACTTCATAGAAACGGAACCCATGTTTGTAGTCTGAGCTTTGCGCCATTTATCTACTGAGGTCACGTGACTACAGGCACAAAACGAACTTTTTGATTATATTTTTGCACTAAATGACATTATCAAGTAATTCACTCGTTTAACCTGCTAACACCATCATCATAAGTTCAATAAATCAGCCATAACGGAACAACCAGCACAAATTATTTCACTGACGCGAAATGTAAGGTGAAATTAGAAGTAGCAAAGCGCGTTGAAAGCAGATTTCTGATTGGTGCGATGTAACGCCGCCATGACAACATCACTGCGTATTTCACTTTTCCCGTGTACAAAATCACTCCGGCACCACCTCTGAAGGACTTTTATGATCGTTCATGATATGTTGATGGACAGTAAAATACTTTAGAATACAAAATAACAAGATTATACGACCCAAACGCAATGTTTCAATGATACGAAAATGATGTTAGTACCCAATCGCAAACAGGTTAAGGAAAACACGTTCCTATATTCGGACTACAGATGGCACTACTGCTCACGGCATTTGTTGTATGTTGTTTAGATGAGACACCAACGGGAGAGCGTATCACGAAGTTCTGTATTTCCATCACAGGTGTCGCGGGAGTTTCACTTACACAATAAAATGCCGTAAATTAGAAACAAATGACAGAGCTGGGAAAGATTATCTACATTGTCTTTACTTCAAAGACAACCCTTAAAACTTAATTATTGTATGCTTTATTTAAATTTCAAATCTGAAATATTATAGATTCGGGTTCCCTAACAATAGCTTATTTGCTACACGAAGAGAAAACAAAATATATATGAACTACTATTTTCGATATAAGCTACGCTTTAAAAGTTAAAAATGAACACATTTTTCATTGCCACCTCTTTCTGTAAGTAGTTGTATCTCATTATGGCAATGATTCAAGGAACGCAGTTGAAAATAAAGCACGAGACTGATCGATGCGGAATCGTGGTGAAACAAGATGTCAGCGTTAAGTGCAGGAGGGAAGGTGAATACGACGATATCAGGCCGCTGAATGTCTGCGTGGTCTCGTGGCATGCTGCACGGTGATTGATTTACCTTTTAGTGAACCCTGTTGTGTGAACGAACGAAACGGAATTATTGCAAGCAGATATGAATGGACCGAATTCGATGTACAAGATGCGACCGATTATCAAGTTGGCGGAGGAAATAGACTTGCCAAAATGCATGTACAAAATGAAAGTTATACAGAACTCTCATTGCGTGGTACAGATAGACAGATCTACAAATGATAGATTGGCATCTGCTATTACGGAACAGGTTAACAAGTTTTTAAAGGTCTACTAACTTTACTTATTATTTAGTCATAGAGAAGAAATTTATTATAATTTGAGTCGAGAATGCGGCGATTTCTGAATTTCATGCGCAATGCACTTTGGTAGAAGTACGTCTTAAAACAGTGCGTTTAATGTTGGTTGATTATCATTTCTCTTAACTACTAATAGCATGAAATCGGAGATGGAAATGTTATAGGACCCCCAATTTAATAACAAAATATAGAAGGATTTTATCTTTACCTCTAATAATTGAAGTATGTTGCTGGTACCTGAAGCCTTGGCTGTACTTTCTTTGAGTCTGCCATTCCAAGTTTACTACTAACTAATCAAAATCAAATATGTCTGCCCAATTTTGTAATAAGGTCATTCATGCAAATGAGTTGCTGGAAAATTATGTATATTCTTTTAATGATCATGTTTCAAAATTATTGATTTTTTTAAATGAAGTTTTTAAGAGTGTCATGTGGTAAATTCTACCTTAATTTTTCTAAGTTCACAAATTTGTTGTAATTTTGTTGTAATTGCAAGCAAACTTTAAAATACATTTCTAGAAACCAATGCCTGAAGTAGTTGCTTTGGAGAATAGGCAAGAAGCAATTCTAGTTCAACTGGCCCAGTTAAAACAACAACTTAATAATTTGAGGGAGCAATTAAAGAAGCCAACATCATGCACATCTATAAAGATTCAAGTTCAAAATACTTACAAGGTAAGACTTTTGAAAGTTTTCAATTACAGATACAAGTGTATACAAGGTGCTTGAATACACTAATTTTTTTGCAGAACGGACTACATGACGAAATAGTTGTTAAAGCCAATCCTAAACGGCCTCCGTATTCTTTACTGGCTTTGAATCGTCTACTCCAGAATAGTATAAATATTCGTAACTATGTTCATTCTACAACTGAAGACCTGGGCGAAATCCTCAAACAGTTCAATAAAACATCAAATTCTCCACTTTTCAATATCAGATTAATTTGGAAAGATGGTAAGTTGATAAAAAATTAAATAGTAATATAAAATATAAATTGCACATTTCAATTGTTAAGATATAATTTTACTTTTTAATTTTTAGTGCCTGATACTGAATTCTTGATCAGTCCTACCAAACATTCAGGAATAACAACAGAGGTGAATCTTTTGAGGTTTTTGAGTCGCTCAGGACCACCAGAATTGAATTACGAAGCTTCAGGGGATGCAGTTTTTGCTAGTATTGCTGATGAACTTCTTGACACATGTTATAGAATTGTGAAGGAAACTACAATAAAAGGAAGACAGATTCATTTTAAATTATTTGGTGCAGCTCTTCAAAAATATCAGTTTCTAATGGGAGACAATGTATCTGTGGTGGACATAGCAGGGTGGTCAGCACTAAAACAGATTGGTTATGTGTCTAAAGATTTGCCTTCAAATGTCAATACATGGATTGAAAGGTGTAATCACATTTTTGGAGTAAATGTGGCACATTAACATTTAAATTAAGAAGACCACTGTCTTCCAGTTATAATTAATAATTTATAAAGGAGTAATTTAAGCAATGAAATTTGATAACAGCTGTTCACATCAGATAATAAATACTGGCACACTGATTTGAAGTTTCATTTCTGAATTCCTTTTTTAAAAAGATTTTTAAACAAAATTATATGGCAGTGGTATATATTTCTGTAACAAGACATTTCATACAAATACATTTCATTACTTAATGGAAACTAAAACATGGCAACAAATTCTGGAACAGAAGATAAATAAATTCAAACAAAATTACAGTCATAATAAAATTGAACCCTTAAATCTCTAGCTTATTATATTTACTCTTACAACATTCCCTTTTCTGCACAGGAGAAATGAATCTTTCCACGATAATGCAGTTTGGTCAGTTAAGTGGGATTATTTTTTTATAATAACCTATTTTTGTGACCTTGTAATTTACCAATTCACAGGAAGTGCTAGTGTAAAAAAATTTGATTGTTAACAATCTGTAAAAAAAAGTTGGATATTAAAATGTGTATCAAAGGTATTGTGAACGTTTACATTTTCATTCAAAAACTTGGAGTGAAAAAAAAAAAGCTTCAGATGGGATGTGCATTGAACAAATAAACTAAAAGTACTATGAAATCTGTGAGTAATTTTCATTTGAGAACTGGAATTTTTTGGCTAATGCAATTTCTATCAATAATTTGTATTAAGACATTCTGAAGTAAAATGCTGTATTAAGTTTGCTGCTCAATTATAAATTTGAAGTCAAAAGTATTTAAACTTCAAAACTTTTTTGGTGTCAGACTTAATTGTAAAATTAGTGTAGGTACATCAAACAGGTTAAATTTGAATTAACTTTTATGAGAAGAAAATTTTGTGAAATAATATTGAATTTCAGAATTCTGAAAACAAAGGCACTTATACAATTATAGCAATTTCTGCTTTTCTTGAAGGATTGAAATAAGGTAAAAAATGAAAATGCTGGGGATTTTAAACATTTCAAATTAATGCAACACTTCCTTTATGTACATAATTGTTATTTTAGTATTGGCACATACAGCGATCTTGTAATATCTGGTCATGTTCCAGACTTAGAAGGAAAATTATCCTTTGCTAACAACCATTTCATCATACACATTAGATTTAAGTGAGATTTTTTCTTTGAAACTAGATTTCTACATGAGGCAGTATATTTTATCAATGCCTTGATTATATTGATATTTTATTACTCAAGTAATATGAGAGAAAATTATCAAAATCAAGGCATTATGTACTTAATGTACTGTATACATAAAAAAGCCAAGGAATAGAACAATTATTGAGAAACCTCGACTGACAATATGTATGATTTACACAAGGAAATAAACATAATATACACCTCTCATGCCACTTCTTACCACTGTAAAAATCTATAAAAGTAGAAGAGGGAGGTTATTTCATTAACAGACATTCATTATTAAACCAAGACTATGCAAAAATCCTGGGATGCTGATCAAGACATTCACACTATGTTGCTGACTTCATTTTTACATGATAAACCACTAAAGCTTCATTGTCTTCTACAAAACTTCCCGTTAAGTAGCAAGATGGAACTTTATGTAAAGTCTTCCATGATTGACTGTACAAGTTAATAATAAAAGTTTATTACACTCACTCACAAATAATAAGTCATCTAATAATTTACATTCAACAACCACTGTTTGCTTGGAATGCTTGCTTCACTTCTGAGTCAGTCTATGTTTTTTTGTGCAGAGGAGACAACTATTACGTCCAGAAGAGAAACCAAACAAAACAAAAAGAAAATAGCACTCGCAATAAAGAACAATCACACTTCAAACAGTATCATTATTATCACAGATCTTGAAAGCAAGTATAGAATGTGATGTGGTAATGCAATGTGTACCGACTTTGGTCATCACTTGCTTTATAGTCTTTATATTCATATTATCATCTTCACATTTGGAATAAACTTTTCTAAAAGAATGCATAAATACTGTATTTGAATATTTTAAAAATTCACTTTTATTTCAAAATAACTTATGTAAACTTCAAGTTGGGAGTCGTCTGTGTTGTGAGTTCTCTGCCTGGTCCCAAAACAGAGTTTCTTATTTTCTGCAAAATTCATGTTGGAAAGTTTTATTTTGCTTTATGAGCTTCCATGTGAATGATAAAATTCTCAATAGTCTTAGACAAATACAACACTCAAGACACTCCCAACATTAGGCAAAGAGATGGAGTATACAGAAAAGGGACATCTGCAACAGTTGAGGAAAATGAAGTTTAAATTTGTCATGGTTTCCATAAATTATTTATCCATTTTCCCCACTTTCAGGGCTTTCGGCACAATCTTCAACAGTGTCCAGTATAGGCAAGGGTCATACAAATGAAGAAAATCCAGGAAGAGGTGCACGAGATCGTGCCATATTATTCATAATGATCTGTCCTCCATTTAAACTTGTCACTGCACTGCCTTCAGGTTCCGAGTCTGTATAGCTTGAGTAGTTGCGAACTGGCTTTTGCCTTTTCCAAGATTGCCTCAAAGAGTCGTTAACATTGGCATAATGATTGACAAAAGAATGAGGATCAGATCTTTCACTCTCGTTTTCACTTTCAGAAGCCTGAAAAATAAATTAGGACTCATTAAGTACAGCATTAGAATCAAAATCACAGATTATTACTAATTCAAGTTTGTATGTTTACAATGGTGGAAGCTAAAGTGTTTTTTGCCTCGAAGAAAAATAAGAATTGATGCCATCAGTGTCTACAAAATTTTTGTTTGTTACTAAGCTGAATTAAACCAGCATTTCTGTGTGTATTTTTTTGTGTTCTGCTCTGCCTGGTCTTGATTGGCCTCATCTGGCAACACGTGTTTCAAATGTAAACAGTGTTTCTTGTGGTGGGTTTCCAGTTCAAAATTATGGGGAATGCTTTCAGGTTGTGAATCTCCGGCCTTTTAACTTAGCTTCTCAATTTAAAAAAGAGATGGCAACAGAGAAATCTAAAGACTCCTAGACAATTTTCACTTAAACATTGTAAAGGAATCACATCTTCCCTCATTACATCACTAGCACGGAATCCTTTTACAGTTTTTGTCTACACATTTAAATTGCATCACAACATGATATTTTCAATTGTAACAAGATGCATGTGCAGTTTTAAAAACAAAATTATGCATTAGATGAAACCGCATATTCCATTCTCTTTTATACTATTCTTAATTCCAAGGTTTGGTATTATTAAGTTCTCGCTGTACTTTAGGGGACTTCACATCACATTGAATATCTTGTAATTTAATTGTAAAAAATGTTAATTTTAGATTTCTTTCAGAACTGTCACAGCCAAAAACAAATGTGTATTTATTGTTGGGGCCAACATTTTTTATGCTTCAAGAATTTTTAAAATGGTAATTACGCACATTCCTAAATTTAATTAAATGAATTAATGACTATGTTTTTTTATTCCTTCTCTGTGTTTTCTGAGTGCTATAATTTAATCAAAACATTTTTTCCATAAAAAATAAACATGGCATCAAATATTTCTTTAAACACTATTCCATCAACTAAAAATAATTTTTTGTAGATAACATATAGAACCACTCTGATATTCCACCTTCTACAGCATTTCACAAAATTGTTAAAATCAAAGGGTTATGCTGTTGTTAGTTAAAGTAAGTGAAAAATTCAAAAATGTCTTAAATTCATTGATGACATTAGGTTCATGGTTTTCATTATGAATGTAGATGATATTGTGGAGGCTACAATTAGTATTATAATTGAGATCGTGGGAACTTAATAATAACCTTCAGTTTTGTAAGCCAGAGGAAAAACTATATTTTGGTTAGTTCAGACATGTCTCAATTTGTGTATACATTTCTTACTGCTTTGCTGATAAACACACTAACATTCTGGACCATTATTCTTTTGTGGAGATATAAGAAGATCTTTATTTTGAATTTGTGAAATGAATTCATAACATTGCTCATACCCTTTGAATTATAGCAAAACAATGTTTATACCTATTTCTCCTTCATTTTACACTTAAAGACTGCAAAATTAGGAACTACAATAATTATTTTAAAGGTGGAAACAGAACACACAAACCAAATGTTCATGAATGGTGCCATTGTGAAATACTATCTGGCAATGCTGACCACTGATGAGACTGTCCAGGAAAAGTTTGTATGTTTCAGTTTCTCCGCAAAAATCACAAAAACAATTTCCTGTGTAGGAGAGTGCAATTAGGCAGTAAATTACATATAAATATAAGTGGACTACTGCCACCAAGAAAAGAATATGGAGTTATTATTACTATTAGAAAGAGATTAAAAACAGTTCACTATGTGATGAGAGATGTACATAAAACACAACAGAGGATCAAAAAGTTGTGTCTCATAAAAAGGTCTATTTTTTAAAATCATTCCTGCAAATGTTTAGGGAAAAGAAAAATGAGGTTAAGATAAAACTCTCTTCTCACTCTTAATAACTGCCATGCCATGAAAGACGACCTGGGACATTACATTCTCAGGAAGGAAAAAAAACACACATACACCTGTTTAAGCCTAGCCATGTTTTTAACATTGACATTCCACGACGAGAAAAATGTGTATGTTGACGTAACAATAAGCTTAAGACAAAAAATATATCATGCGTGTTTATAATGTGTTATTTCTTGATAACTACCAAAAAATATTCTCACGGCCACATTACCACTTACTCTCAGTTTGACACCCAGCGAGGGCAAATCTGATTTTGCAAGAGATGGAAACAAAAAATATTCACTTTGATAGTAGTATGCATTCTACATCAAACTACAGAAAAAGGTAATAAACAAATGTTTTCTTAGTAAAAACTTCACAAATTTGGAACTATCTCCCAAGTTAACAGTGAAACAGATATACAAGTTAAAGAAAGTATAAGAAATCTTAAAAAATCAGGACCGTGAACAAGAGTGAGACAGGAAGAAAATCTAAAAACACAAAAGGGAAAGTTCTTAGGTAGTGTCAAATGAAAGACAAATACTAATTCAACAAATTCAAAATTCAAAACTTTCAGGGGGGCCTAAAAAGACAGAACAACTCTGTAGGACCAAAAAGAAAGAACCATGGAATAAGTAAAGATGAAGAGGGTAGTGGCAATAGCCACTATTACAATGGTTTTAAGGAACGAGAAAATAACGACAGTAGGCAATAAGTTTCATCATTCTCCTTAAGACAATTTTCTATTCAATTAGACAAGTTGAAAATTTATTTTGACTACACTATAAGAATCAGTTAAAAATTTTTTAAATTCTCAGGAGGGCTCTTCAAAATCATCATATACTCAGGTAAATACAATATTACTTTTTAAATTTAGTTGACATGAATTATTAACTTTTTGATGAATCATCATTTGAAAAGTCAAATTGAAGCACATTTGGTACTTCCAAAGATTAACCTCTTCCCACCAGTTTTAATATTTCAAACTTGTATAATCATTACTGGTAACATATATTTTTGTTAATGTTATTACTAAGGGGAATTTTGTTAATTTTTTTCTTTCTTATCACTTTAGAACAATTCCTTTAATATAGACATTAATTTTATGTTATGACCATAGAAAATGACATACTTTTGCGCTTTTCATCGATGTAGACTGTCATTTTTTACCTTTTTCCACCATTTTTAAAGCATTTTTTGCTTCTTTTTTTTATTTGATTTTTTTGACATGATTTTAATGGTACTTCTTTCAAAAAATATTTTATGATGCACAACATTCTCCACAGAAATCCCGAATAGCCTATTTGATTTCTTCACTCAAAAATTGTAATGTCAGCACTATTGTATGTAATCTATGGTTCTTGTGATGCTTACCACCGCCAATGATGGTTCGGCCAATATCAATATAACAAAAGACAGTGATTTCGTGGTAAAGAACAGTTTAAACTCAAAGTTTGTAAGCTGGCTGCACTTGAACGAAAGGAAGAAACCTCGATTATATTAGTAATATACCTAACAGCTTGAGTTGTGCATCTGAACAAGTTTTGATAAAAAATTTAAAGTCCTTTTTCTTTGCTTTTGGGACATTTTTAAAATAATTTATGAGCATTGTATTGGTCATTTTTGGTGATATTTTAGCTTGTTAAAATCCGTCCCATAGTTATTACGTTTGTGTAATAAAGAAAGGGTATCAATTACAAAGTATCTCTCTCAGTGAGATACCCTAGCCAGGCTTTAAACTCCTCATGAGAAGTAAGTATTAATATGTAAGGGGAGACTGAGGAACCAGGATGAGGAAGAATGATTGCATGCACTCTGTGGTCCGTTTGTTAGGGTACTTCCATGAAATACATCTGACTGATTAGAGACTGCCAGTGATTTAAAAACTGATGAGACGAGAAATACAATAACGAAGAGACATTAAAAATAAAATGCACAAAGCGCTATATGCTTGATCAGGGGCTTCGAGACATGTTGCGTCAATTAATAATGATGTGAATGACTAAGATGTAACAAATTAAAATGTGATGAAATTGAAACTGTCAATATTAGCAAATGAAATTGGTATTTTATTGCCTGTTTACTTTGTTTTTCTCTCTCTCTCTCATTTGTTGGGTTTATATTTAAGTTTTTAATGAATATTTTTAGACCTAGTGGTGTGGTTTTATTTGAGTGGTGTTATTCTATTAAGTGGTGTTATTTTATTTGAAAGAATTTAAAAATTCATTAATCAATGTTTTTAGCAGGTGTGTGTGTGAGTGTGTTTGTTTGTTTGTTTAGAGTATTGTAGGAGGGGGCAAAATGTAGCACACTAAAATTTAACCAATGTTACTCACAGGTCAATAAGGTGTAATTCTCATTTTACCCAGTTATAAATGGTCATGTATTTTGAACACTCAATGGAAAAAAAAAAACACATATCCCAAAAATCCACAGCCAACCAATATCATCCTTTAATTTTACGGAGTTGGATATGCATTACCCTTTGCATTCACACAGTGGGGTAATAAAGTTAACATTTTACTGTTAAGTTTATTTTGTTCATGTGTTTGTTTTTGCTGTTGTTGTTTTTTTTCCTTTATCTTGTTTGTTGTGATTTAATTGAAGTTTTGAAAACTAGCAAAAGAAGGT